AGATGAGATGCATGCGCTGGCATACAGATTGGTATAATCTTGTTTTGCTTGCAGATTTGGTTGAATTGAGGTGTAAGATGGCTACCATGGCTGTCAAGGATCAATAGCCGATAATCACCAGTGATTCAACTATTAGTCAATGGAATAAAGTGATCTTTTAGCCAAGATAGACCAATCTGATCAGTAGTCCATCCATTCAGTGAGATATCAATATGCCAGTTCAATAGTAGGTCATCAAACCATGATTTGATAAAGACCTTGCCCTTAAAGATCAGATATGGCGGTAGTGCCCATCCAGTAGCATTGATCGCTTCAATTGATGTGACCCATTCACAATTACCAGGTTGCAATATAGGTCGTCGACCATAGTATTCAGCGCGTGTGATGACCCTAGCAGTAGCAGTGAGGCCCATAGCAAAACCAGTCTCATCGAAGTTATATATATCTTCAAATGCAATACCATATTGTATGATTGTCTCTTGCACTAGATTAAACCATTGCTGAATGATTGTTGGGTCTTCATTTTTAGCACGCTGATAGTCATATCAACGACTATAGCGCCCTTTGATCTCTGGTTGGTGCTGAGTGAAATTATACACCCATTTTTGACCAATGGTCTCTAGAGGAGTTTGGCCGCACTGAGCAAGCAGAATATTGGTTATTTCTTGAACAGCAGTAGGGCTAGGCGCTGCGCCACATGAATCCATTGACAAAATCCATTGAAGAAGCGTATACTCCTCAGTTTCAGTCAATTTATGGTTGTTTGCGCGCATATCATGGCGATTGGTATGGCCAGCTAGACGGCGGCGGAGCGTAGCCTCAGGCACATGAAATCAGCGCGCTGCTTCGCGCACAGAAGTAATTTGATATTTTTGAATAGCTTCAATAGCTAACAAGACCCTACCCTCCTGCTCAATTGATTTTTGGGAGGATTGAGAGCGATTTGGTGGCATGGTAGGCAATAAAAAAATGATTAAGATGGTTGGGTGAGATTCAGTTGGATGGTGTGTTGCTCGCTTACATGCGTTGCTTGCTTACCAACCACATTATAGGCTCTCAACCAATGTGCTATTATTAGATGCATTATCTGTTGTGATAGCAAGGACACAGTCTTCAATATCATACTTTTGTAGTATATCCCAAAGGACACCACCTAAGTTGAGACCAGTATGTTGGCCAGAAAGTGGTTCAAAACCAAGTAATACCTCCCTATATTCCCAGTTTGAATCAATGAAATAGCCTGTAATTGCCATAAATGCCTGATGAAATGGAGACGTCCAGCAGTCCAGGCTAATTGATAGCTTAGCCTGTGGAGGTAAACTTTGGAGCATGCTTTTCTGCCAATTTTGAGAGATTATCTGAAGTTGACGCTGTATTGTTTTGCAAGAAACAGGTTCTGGAACAGAGGGAGCTGTAGAGTGGTAATTGTAGTCACTAGCTGCTGGAGCCATCAATCATGAGAGAAGGGTTCAGTGGATGGGCGACGGGTCTATAAAGTAGGATGAATCAGTATATATCTTTAATATAGGATAGATAGAAGAAATACTGCATTCTGTAGTAGCTGTTGAATATTTGGCCGCTTTCCATGAAGTTGTGCTTTTTTTGCATGAAGCTTGGTGTTTTTTGATAGTGCTTGTGCCCATTGATCAATAATTTGGATGATTCAGGGTATTCCCACAGGAATTACACATAACCTTGGGCTCACCTGTCTGGTAATGGGCCACATGGCTAAAATAAGACCAAAGCTCTGTGTTTAGCTTCTTTCCATCCCATTTAATCTGTTGTTGTATATCCTCAGTTGACCCAAACTGCGTTTTGAACCACCAATCAAGAAATACTTTCTTATCCATCTCATTGAAGATAACCCATGCTTTCTTGCAATTGGTTGAGCGTTGTAGTTATGGTGGGACTGGAGGAGGCAGGTGAAGCTCTAGATTACTGCAAGTCCGGCCTTCAGAGGGTGTTGTTGGTGTGAATAAAGGGTTATCCTCACTCCCAAGTTTGGAGGAAAGAAAGGGATCTGACTGCTGAGACATTAGATAAAAACACCTTCAGGTTAAAAGGGTATAGGATAGATTACCAGGTAGAAGGCTTTACTACAGTAGAATATATCAGGCCTTTTCTGCAGAAATGTTGCTGAGGTGTACTTTGGTGGAGTAGTTGCTTTTCCCATAAAGCTGCATACTAGATATCCAATTATACTTCTGTGGGCTCTCCTGTGGAAATATATTATTGGCTTAATAGAGCTGGGTGTATATACTAGCTTTGTATAAGATATAACATGTAAAGGTTGTATTCAGCAGAGTATTTACACATTATATAGCTACTACTATGATCCTAGACACCAAAATAATTTTCTCAATGCTTTCAAGATAAATCAGGTTTATAACGAGAGTTAATCAAAGTATGGTGGTACTACCTATGGTGTAGAAAATATATATTCCATCTGAATACACAGCAAAAAGACCACCTTTCTAAACCAACTCACTTCCACTGATCAGAAATACTTTGAAACTAACATCCACCTAATTTACGCTGTAGGCTATTGTATAATAGCTTTCTTCTTGTAATATTATAGATGGTAGGTAAGAAAGAGAGAGATTATTAGCTTGTACGATAATCGTTGATGCTGTGATGGGATAGGAACAGAGAAAAATACACGCTAGTGACTAAGGGTTTTTATGCAGGAAAATTGTGTAGACTTGGGTATAAACGTACTCTTTGGGTATGGGTACGAGACCCGTACCCAAATGGGTACCCATGTGCAGGTCTAATCCAGCCCTACATTTCTTAAGACTTCATTCACTCTATAGTTTTATTTTATATATAGTATAGAGAGAATAATTATACTATCTTTCTTTTCTTCTTTATTAGTGGATTAATAGTCTAGCCACTAGCTTAAAGTATTAGCAGGGTTCTGTAAGTCTTGATAGTATTTAATATAGAAATCAAAGACTCATTTGTTTGGTATATTTATTATAAATATCTGACATTCATTAAACTCCTTAGTTATCATGAAGTAATGAATACCAATAAGATAAGAGATTATTTTTAAGTAGTTCTTAATAAACTGTTGATAAAAATTTATAAAATCTAAGAAGACTTAATGCATTTTATTTTAGGCTAGCTTTTAATGATTTTTATATAAGCTTTTTCCATGTGGACCCCTTCTAGATTTATATATAATAAGCTTAAGTTTATAATCTATATTAAAAGTAGTACACTTGTTCAGATTGTAATAGGAGTAGTTAGAAACCAACTTTTTCTCTTGGCATCATAATAATTTCTCATTGACACTTGACATTTACCTAAAATATCTTAGAGTACTCATATATATATCAGGGACTGAAGATTACCATGATTAGAATCTCAAGAATTTTAAGAGTTGAATATGTCATGCTGCTAGATAGGTTTGAAGTTCTAATAATTATACATGAAATCTCTCCTAACCAGAGTGGTTGGGTGGATATATATTAACCCAGTCCAGTTAGATAGATAAACCCCATTCTAAGGTAGTCAGCATGCTCCTTCCAATTAATGTATTTTCCTACCAAGTAACACACTTCCTGTGTTTTTTCATGTCTTCAATTAGTTAAATCATTTTAAACCACTACTATTCTATCAAAAATGCCTCTCAAGTCCCAAAATTTAAATGAGTAAGAGGGAGGATTGATTCTATTAGCAATATCTCTCTAAAAGAATCTCAAATTCAGACAATTCAGACTATACAAGCAGTATGCCATTTTCAGGTCTCTGAAACAGCCCTCTGATTGTGACAGTCTGGTTATGTGTATACCTCTCACATGCTGGAAGCAAGGGATATAAGTCTTATCAACACTAATGGCACATTATTCTTCTTTTTCTTTCCTCATGTTGATTATTCTCATTGATAGCTACCTAGATAGAATACATGAGTTGATGTTCTATTATCCCAGCTGAGCTCCATGACACTGATAATGACTCTATGATATAACTATACAGCCTGAAAAGCATGCATGTCATTAGGCATAGAATGACTGAAAATAGAGAGGAATCACTTCTATAATGGATACTCTTTATAAACTGATGTGGAGCAGCCCCCTGACCATCTTATGTTTAAGATATGGTCAATATTCTCCTTTCACAGCATGGTCCTGCCAATACTCAACCTGTTGGTAAGAATTGAGTATTCAGCCTTATTAAATGTCATAATGAGATCAAGATCAGTTATTCTTAATGATATAATTATCAATAAGCCAAATGTGAGAATCTAAAGATCATTGCATATAAAGACATCTATAACTTTGATGAAACTGGCTATGCAATGGGCCCAATTGCTACTGCAAAGGTAGTAGCTAGAGCTTGATATATGGCAGGCATTAGATTATATAGCCTGGGAACTGAGAATGGGTTACATCTATTGTGTTAACTCTATAGGATGGGTCCTACCTCCATGCATTTATATTCAAAGGAATTTGTCACAGGCTGCGCCTGTCGCATAAGCGATATGTCTAGTCAAGCGGAGAGGCTACTAGACGGAGAGGTTATCGGAGGAACTATTTACCCGCACTGCGCACACATGTATTTAGAGCCGCTCGGTCGGGCATCCGTCCGATATTTCTTCAACGAAATCTTTTGTGCTAAAGCTAGTCATTAGCATTTCCGGGCCTAGCCCTTAACAGAATTGTCTATATTAAGAGCTGGTATCAAGATCCTAACCTGCCTCCTAATTTGAGGATTGAAATTAGCCCAAATGGATGGACATCAGATCAAATTGGACTATGGCTGTGCTACTGGAAAATATTACCTCTTAATACTTGATGACCATGCTACATAGCCATCTTACTCTGGAATTTGACAAAATATGCAGTGAGAATGATATAATTCCTATCTATATGCCAGCTCATTCATCAAATTACTGATCTAACTATCTTAAGATCCCTACACCACCAGGCAGCCAGTCAACCAATTCAGCCCCTAAAACACCTTATAATCTGAAGCAATTGGAAAAGCAGACAACTACAATCCAGAAGCTGCTCAGGGAGCATATACATAGCCCTTCAAGTCCTACTAAAGCTGCTCTAATGCAGCTTTTTAAGGAGTGTGAAATGGCCATGAATAGTGCTATTCTTTTGGCCCATGAAAATCAGGAATTATATGCTTCACATGAAAAGCAGCTTCAAAAACACAAGCAAGCTAGGAGGCAGATAGCTACTGAAGAAGGCCTTTCTATTCAGGAGGACCAGGAGGAAGAAGTCATATCTACTATATCTATAAACTGGCACTATTAATGGAATACTGCTCTGTACAGGTGCCACTATATTACAGTGATTGCAATATTATAAGGCATAAAAGGAATCAGTGTCCTAGTCACAATAGTAATTAGTTTTTACATAGAAATTCATTTTATTAATGTTAAAAAAGACTCCTACATTTTAATTATAATTGGAAGTGCACTGCTCAGTCAGGTGCATCATGTGATAAAGAAATATACTAATATTTTATTAACCACTAATGCTATTATATTAAATTCATTCAGCTATCTATTAGAGCATTAGTTAATGTCATGCCCTACAGTCCTATATAGACTACACATTATGTGCTGGCCACTGGCTAGGTGAAATAGTCAGTGCAGCTGCTGTTATCTGAGTGATTATCTTAACTTCAGGAGGCTGGTTTAGACCCTAAATCACCTGCTGAGTGTCCTCCACTGATAAACCACCCTGATAGGTCATCAAATCATGATTTAATAAAGACCTTGCCCTTAAAGATCAGATAAAATGGTAGTGCCCATCTAGTAGTGTTGATTATTTAAATTAATGTGATCTAATTCATGATTACCAGGTTGCAATATAGATCATTAATCATAATATTCAATTTGTGTAATCACCCTAGCAGTACAGAGGTGTGCGAGATAAGTCTCGCTCGGCGCTATTCCCTTTTAAGAATAGACTAGTCAGCACCGTACACGCCATTACACGTAGCTACCATCATCTGCAACCCCCTCAACACTGCATATGGCCTATCTTATTGCTTTTTTTAAACCATATAGGCCATTATTGATGCCACTTGCTCTCTATCTTCCTACCACCTGCCCCCTTACCCACAGATTCAGTCAAAATGCGCGGGTCTTATCATCCTGTTGGTGTCCGTGTTCAAGCAGTTGCTCTAATGGCCCAGGACTTTGATATACAGCATGTTGAAGCCATCACTGGCATGTCTAGCTGGACTATTAAGCGCTGGGTCAAGAAGGCAAAGGAACGTGGCTTTAATCCAGAGATAGACCAGCGGATTTTGACTGAATATGTGGAAGATGAACCCCGTTCTGGCCGTCCTAAAGAAGTTACTCAATCAATTGAGGAATCTATTATTTCTTCTGTTAAAAAAGACCATATTGGACGTGAGAAATCCTCTGAATTCCTTGCTTTTGAGTCTAATATCTCTTCACATTCTGTTTTAAAAGTCCTTAAGAAGCACGGCCTTCATAGTGTCAAACCTACCAAGAAACCAGGTCTTACTGATGAAATTAGAAAAAAGCGTCTAGATTTCTGTCTTGCCCATAAAGACTGGACCCTGGAAGACTGGAAGAATGTGATATTTACAGATGAGACCTCAGTGGCTTTGAGCCACCGATGTGGAGGAATTAGGATATGGTGTACTAAGGATGAGGTAAATGATCCTACCTGTATTCAGCGCCGGTGGAAAGGAAACTCTGATTTTATGGTGTGGGCTGGCTTTTCTTATGATAAGAAAGGCCCTATTCATATCTGGTCTCCAGAGACAGCGCAGCAGAAGAAGCAAGCTACCAAGGAGATTGAGAAATTGAACAGAGAGTTAGAGCCAATCTACAAGCAAGAGTGGGAGCTCAACACTTCTATGTCAAGAATGAGGCTTAGAGGTAATATGCCTGGCTGTGAGCCAGTCTGGCATTGGAATAAAAGGAATGGCCGCTTAGAGCGTGACTCTAAAGGGGGAATAGACTGGTGGCGGTATAATAAGGTAAGTTTAAAGCCATTCTATGACTCTATCCTCTATTAAGATGTCACTGACTTCTACTTCTTAATCTAATGAATAGGAAGTCCTAGTTCCGAAGCTGATTCCTTTTGCCAAAGAATGCATGATTGAGCGCCCAAAAACTTCAGTTCTAGAGGATGGAGCACCAGCTCACTGTCATCATTTTCAGGCAATGACCTATGATCTTTTTGGGGTGCAAAAGATAATGGACTGGCCTGGCAAGTTATCTATAAGCAGTTACTCCTACATGAGTGCTAACTTCTTCTTCCACTAGGCAATTCCCCTGATCTAAATGCCATAGAAGCAGCCTGGCCATGGCTAAAACGACGAACTACCTCCCGTGATGCCCCCCGAGATAAGAAGACTGGAAAACAGGCATGGATTGATGGATGGAGTGAGCTACCTCAGGAGCATATTCAGCGGTGGATAGAGCGCCTAGTACGCCATATCCAGGAGGTTATTGAGCATGAGGGAGGCAATGAATACAAGGAAGGGACTACAGGCCATGATAATAGGAAGTGGAAGGGGAAGAGAAGAAAGGGAGAGCTCTCTAGGCGTCAGGATCTAGGAGATGGCCCCCTCTTTTAAACCATCTCAAGGCAGTCTATAAATACGTTTTCTATGGGTAGTAATAGCCTCATCTTGGCCTAGATAGGCACAGAGTACATAGATGGCTTCCTCGGCGGCTTCAGTGGACAGCCAGGTAGAGTGATCTATCATATAAATTACCATGGGATCTACCTTGACCATATATTACAGCCAAGCGAGACTTATCTCGCACACCTCTGTAGCAGTGAGGCTCATAATAAAACCAATCTCATTAAAGTTATACAAGCAGAATATTGGCTATTTCTCAAACAGTAGTAGGGCTAGGCACTGTGCCATGTGAATCCATTAACAAAATCCATTGAAGAAGTGTATACTCCTCAGTTTCAGTCAATTTGTGATTGTTTGCGCGTATATCATGGCGGTTGGTATGGCCAGCTAGACGGCGGCGGAGCGTAGCCTCAGGCACACTAAATCGGCGCGCTGCTTCGCGCATAGAAGCAATTTGGTCTTTCTGAATAGCCTCAATAGCTAACAAGACCCTACCCTCCTGCTCGATCGATTTTTGAGAGGATTGAGAGCGATCTGGTGGCATGGTAGGCAATAAAAATAATGATTAAGGTGGTTGGGTGAGATTTGGTTGGATGGTGCGTCGCTCGCTTACATGCGTCGCTCGCTTACCGACCACGTTATCCCTGTCTAGGGGATGAGAAATGTTTGTCAAGGCCTGAGAGGCTACTACACAGCTGTCTCTCTATCTCTTAAGGATTTCTACAATACTCCTGGCCAGCAAGCTATGGTTTTCTTGATTTGTATATAACACCTTATCAGAGGTCTTGCAGATTTAGTAATTGTATACACCCATCCCTGCTAACTTTACAGGCATATGGGCACTGCTAGACAAACTAAATAATTACACATTATATAAGTTAGCAAACAGCTCATCATACCTCTATAGAGTCTGGGCAGCTCTATAGAGGACCCCCTCTCTGGCTGATGTGGGGGATGTTGTCAGTCTGAAAAAACTATTATTATAGGGAAACACCAGTGAGTATGATTCTCTAATGGGGCTGTCTAGTGACCTGGACCTCGTTCAGGTATCTGACTGAGGCACCAAATCATAAAACAATCTTCTAGCTCTAATATTAAGAATTGTCTATTATAAGGAAATTGATCATCCTACTGTTAATAAAGATAAGAAGAGTATTAATCTATAATAGTTTTACAGCATTCTAATAGTGATCAATAGGCATCATAATATGAATATTAAATGTTATAAATTTTAGATTATTACAAGTCTAAATAAGTCTCTGCTCTTTTCATTCACTAAGGCCCTTGACTGACTCAGTTTCTTTAAAAAATATTCAACAATTCCTTTAAATGAAGAAAAAGTCAACTGTTTGAGAACTTCTTAATAATTAAATAGTCCATTATTTCAGTTCTTGTATAATTAATTTTAACTTTGACTTTATAATTAATATTTCTAAATAATGAGTTAACATATGAGAATTATAAAAATGGCTTAAATATACTCCCATTAACTGAGCTCTCCTATTGGATGTTTATAGGAATCTTTAAGTGATTTAAATAGATTAGAGTATTGCACAGAGCACAGCACAGAATACTTATTTATAAATATTATAAATATACTAACGTAATCGGTAAGCGAGCTGGACACGTAAGCGAGCTGGACACCCAACGCGACCGCGTCATTTTCGTGCATCCTTCTTTCTTTAACCACCCACTATGCCACCAATTCGCTCCCAAAGCTCTCGAAATTCAATAGAGCAGGAGGGTAGGATCTCATTAGCTATCCAGGCTATCAAGAAGCAAGAAATCTCTTCTATTCATGAAGCAGCACGCTGTTTTGAAGTCCCAAAGTCTACTCTCTACACACGCCTTCATGGAACTACAAGTCGAGATCAAACCCACGCCAATAGCCATATTGACACAAATAGAAGAGGAATCACTTTTAAAATGGATCCTCTCTCTTGATGATCGCGGAGCAGCTCCTCGGCCAACCTCTGTACAAGAAATTGCAAATCTTCTACTTGCAGCACGTGGATCTACCCCAGTTCAAACAGTTGGTGAAAAATGGGCTTATAACTTTGTGAAACGAAACCCAGAGCTTTCAACCCGATTCTCAAGACGCTATAATTATGAGCGTGCAAAGTGTGAAGACCCAAAAATCATTCAAGAGTGGTTTAATTGTGTGCAACATACAATACTTCAATATGGCATCAACCCTGATGATATCTACAACTTTGATGAGACTGGCTTTGCAATGGGTTTAACTGCTACTGCAAAGGTAGTAACAAGGTCTGAATACTATGGTCGGCGATCACTTTTACAACCTGGAAATCGTGAATGGGTTACATCAATTGAATGTACAAATGCCTTGGGGTGGGCCTTGCCTCCATGCATTATTTTCAAAGGCAAGGTCTTTATTGAGGGTTGGTTTAAAAACCTCCCAGGTGATTGGCACTTTGAAGTC